TGTAAGAACTCTACTGTACCAGTTAGTGATTGCCACAAAGATGAAGCATAACAAACGATCTCAAAGTTCACTGATTTAAAACAACAATAATTTATTCACAGACATCTGCGGATTGGCCAAGGGTCAGCAAAGGGTTAACGGATCCAGGCTGGGTTCAGCTAGAGCAACTCAGCTTTACTCCACATGACTCTTGTCTTCAGCATGTTCTTCTCATGGCAATAACAGAAACATAAGAAACCAGGCCGCAATCACAAAATCACTTTCCAAGCCTTTGATTGCATCACAACTGCTATCAGCTCATAGACCAAAGAAAGTCACATGGTCAACTCCAGAGCCAAGGACTAAGGAAATATTCCTTAATCATATTGGGAGGGCACTGCAAAATTACTGGACAGGATATGGAAGGTTTCAACTCCATCATTGAAGAAGAAGAGGAACAGGTTAATACCAGCAGTCTGACACCAATGTAGAGTACATTTCTTTTTTGCTAAGTAACCACAGAACATAAACAGCTTTGTCAGCATGAAGTTCTGAAACCTTTTCTTTCCTATAGCACTACGTTTTGGTTTTTTAAATACTGCAAACTCATTTCAAGAGAAAAAATAGTATTTCTTTCTCACTCATCACAAGGCTAGTAGCTAAAATCCCCTATAGAAAAAGACAATAACAAGAGAAAAGCATACAAATTTATTGAACACAATTTTTACATCAGTCACACAAGAGCCTTCAGAAATGAACACCCAAAGAAACAGAGAAATCTGTGTATTTTTATGGGCAGTTGTACAGAAGTATTATTGGAGGACCAAAGGGTATGAGCTAGTGATAATAAACTGGACAGAATTTATCAAGCCCTGTGTATTCAGATTCTTCTGTGTGTCTCCGTATACACTCCCTTCCCTTGGATATAGGGAAGACCCTCCTGGACTGAGGGTCTTATGACTTATTAGTGGAAGGTCACATACATTCTTGTATGGTCTGCTTCAAGGGAGAACAGTGAGAGACAGTCAAAGATACCTTCCTGCCTCTGCTGTTTTCTCAAATGCCAGCACACCCTATTTTGGGGTAGTGTGTCCTGAACCCCTTCACTGTTATTGCATTATCTTAGAAAGCCTTAGGTGTGGAATCTACTCTCTGTTAGCTAAAAGCAGAGCATTATATGAACAAGTGAATTACTAAAGAATGTGTATTAATATAAATTTAACTGAGATTAAACTGAGCCTCCACATATTCTTAATATAATATAATTTTACATTTGAAATTATTGTGCAGAATAATTAGATGAGATAGTGTTTGTTAGTAAAAAATACCTTATTTTAAAATGGAAAAAAGCTATAAAGTTTTTATATGAAATATTAAACCAGTGCTCACTAATAAAAGATGATTTAAGCCTTCAGTAAACTCCAGGTAAAGCAGAATCTTCTAGTGTAAAGTATTTTCAGAGGACAAAATCAAAGGAGAGATTAAAAACATTTTATTATTGCCATATTTCTAAGGCTAGTTCTTTCTTAAGTTGCTATTCATTTTTTCTATTTTTCCTCTGCCCTCAAGATTTTCTAGTACTTCCTGTAATAGTAGAAACTTTAGAAGGTTTGTTGACACCTCATTAATAAAGATTTGGCAGCAGTTTTTGCTCTGATTCTTCTCATTCCTCTCCCTGGCATTAGCAATTGGAATACAATTTGATTTAAAAAAAAATCTGAGATAGACACAGCCATTTGAGGGTTTCTTGGAAGTGCTTCTAAAATGACCAGAAGCACTTTTATTTTAGCTATTATGTTCTCTGCTCAGGATATAGAATATGCTTATGTATGTTTAAACTGTTATCATGGTACACTGAGCCCTTAATAAATTACCATTCTAAAATAAAAATTAACCATGAACTGTATAACTGATCTGTCTTCAATTTCTCTGAGGAATAAAGGCAAACATTAATGATCCACTTCTCCTTAGAGCACTCGTACTTTTAAAAAGGTGCAGTACTCTTTATTTTTAATTATTTAATTAAAAATGCTAATATAAAATATCCTCATGCAAAAAAATCAAACTAGTATAAAGTGAAAGTTAAATTACCTTTCCCCTTCTCCAATATTATTACTCTGAATTTTAATAGGTATTTCCAAAATGCCTTTTAAAAACGCTAACTTACATTTCAGTGTTCTTAAACATATAGACAAATGACTTAATGACTTGTTTTTCATTTGCTCAGAGCATTTCCATATTTACTGGCTATTAATCTAATTTAGTTTCATATCTTTCCTATGAGATCCAGATATTAATCTCTCAATTTATAAACCTAAAAACAAAAAGGAAGAGACTTTCAGGTGCTCGAGTAACTCCATGGTGTGCTAGGTATTGAAGTTAAACTTCCTACCTTGTGGTAACATTATCTAGTCATTAGTCTATACTGTCAGGCTAATTAGTAAATGAAAAAACAGTAAAGCCTACAGAAAATTATTAGAAAAGATTTGAATGTTGAGAACCTGATAAGCATCAAATACCAGCTACTATTCAGGTCATTTGTTCTCTGACTTACAGTAAAAGTCACATTATGACCAGTTTGGTATACTCTCTATAATACACCAATTGTGACTCATTAGCCAACAGTTACAAAGACTAATAAAAGAATCCACTCACTGGATTCTGTTACCAGTATGGACATAGCACATTGCTAACAATGCACTTCCAGTATTTTAGGGATTCTGGGAAATGCTTTATCTTTAGTGTCATATCTCATCACAAAATCCCTGTGGTACCTCAGTACCCACTGTGTCTAGTTGTGCATTATTACTTGAGAGACGAAAAAGCTCCTCTGGCATAGATAGTTCTGACTCTGGAAGGTTCAGACCTGACCTCAATTGTGATAGTCGCACTACAGAGTACCCGGAAACTAGAGAAGCTTGTATAAGGATTTAAAGTAACAGCTCTGCTATGTCATAAAAGTCTGGTGACCAGATATGTCTCCCGTAATGTCCCTTAGGCTATCTAATCATGCTTATAGTTCTCACTGAAATGTTCCCTGCCGCTATTACCTCCTATATTCACACTTGGCCTTCAAAAGACTGACTTAGGGTAGGGATTCATAGTGTAGGGGCACCTTTAAGTAAGAAAAATGGATGTCCTCTTTTCTGTTGAACTAAATAATAACTCCGTTCTAATAATAGATATAGAACCAAGTTCCCAAATTCCCATTAAGTTTAATTCTCTAGGTCTAAACCTCCAGGACCAGAATTGTATTTATTCAACTGATGTTCATAGTTTCCACAAGGTTGTCTCTGGATGAGAATTGAAAATGGTTGGTAAACATCTAGAAGGCTAAAAACAAATCTGGTTATTTGGGGAATATCCAGATGAAAAATTCACTTGGAAACTGAAAGCTAAGGTCATGTACACAAAACATCTATGCCCTATGAATATGTAAAAAACAAGAAAGAAATTGAATAAAGAGGCTTAGCCTATTCGTACAAATTTTGTTTACCCCATAAAATTTCATCTCTCTTTCACAGCTCTGTATTCTTTCATTTTGATGTCTCTCAATCCCCATTATTAAATCCTAATAGTTTCTGATGGTTTCCACAGGATTGAATTAGGCTGGATTGAAGGTATCTCATGCAGATTTGGCTTTTCTTTGTACATTTGGATAAGAAGCAGCTTTGCTGGTAGATCCAGAAATAAAGCCAGAATAGACTGATGTATGAAGGAACTTGCAGAAGTTACTTATGATCTATGAATACCAGTCTATTCATTTGAAAAATGAAGATGAGATGACTTTTGTGGGGATTATAGATTAAATGTGTATGTCTGAAATACAACAGTAGCTATAGAACTAGTCAGTTAATGGTAAACATTACCAAGCTGCCAGGTGAAGCAGGAAACATTTTTATCAGCCACAAGTCTCTCTCTTACTCTTCCAACTGATTTAGAACCATACAAACATGCACAACTAATCTAAAGTTTATAAAGAGAAGAAACTGTAAAGTTCATTCATTGATTCAGCAAACATAAGCATAAAGAAGAATGCAAGGCTGTTGGATTATGAAGTAATGTACATACATGACGGTATTAGAAGATAGAACAAGATATGTGCCACAGGAAAAATTCCCTTAAAGTCCTATGGAGCTTTGAGGAAGAAAATATTTCTTTCAGCTGAATTATCAGAAAATATTTAACAGAAGAGGTAAGTTTAAGCAAGCTATTAATGGGTAAATAGACAGAGTGTGTACATGATACAGTGACTAATTCAATTTGACCAAAGCATGGAGTGAATGAAAAAGTGAAGTGTGAAATAAGACAAAAAGGTAGATTTGGACCAGACTGTAGAGGCATTAGAAGGCCATGCTAAAGAATTTGAGATTTTTGAACAGAGGGATGACATGATTGATATATATAATAGTTTTAACTAAGAAATAATTCATTTGGAAGCTTTGTGAAAGAAATAGCTACCAAATCCAGTTAGGAGATTGCATGGTGATACCTGTGACAGGTTATGATGTGCTGATCCTAGGGAAGAGCCATGGAATTGGAGGAGAAGGAATGGATTCAAGACTTGGGGGAATAAGAATATATGAGAATTAACAAATACACTGCTAATTAATGACAAAAGGAGGGTAAAGTAGTATAGGTATTTCTGGCTTCTTATTTTTATCATCATAAAAATGTATCTTATGTCTGATTCTGCCTTTATTTTTATTAGAATAATGGACTATTTTTACCATTATGTTAACTTAAATGTTTAATAAATGTAGGATGTTTGATGACCAATTTTATCATCTGCCAGTGTTGTTTCATTATGAGTTAAATTAAGAGTTAGTCCTATGTTTCACTTCTCTGTTATATTCTACTTAAAGATACTGAACTGTTATCATTCCTAGAAGATGGTTCTCAGTTCTGGCTGCTCATTGGAACCCCACAGGGAGCATTTTAAAAATTTTAATATCTAAACAAATGAATTGGAATCTCTGAAAATTGGACTTGGACACCAGTATTTTCATTTTAATCTCCCCAGTGTTTCCAATGTACAGCTTCAGTTGAGAAATACTGATATTGAACAAGACATACCTTAGTCTCTAAGTAAGCACATTTGCTCACATTGCTCCCTATCCATTCACTGTAAAACTTACCAAGCATGCTCCTGGTGGTCATTCCTGTGTAGTAACTGAGACCCAGTTCCCCAGGATTCCTTTATGTTCCTCATTCTTCGATGTCTTTCCCTGCTCCACATAACTCCATCTTGGAAAAGTGAATAAACCAATTTCTACTGGAAGTTTTCCTGCAAACATGAGAAAAATCAACCTGAAGATAAAGTAGACACTGTTGATAGCAGAGAACAAAGACAGAAAAAACATGGGTCCTTGGTGAAATTAACTGTTTTACCAATCAATCCGGAAGATTCATCTAACGCTGGACTTCAAGTTATGAGCCAAAAAAATGTCGTCATCATTCAAGCCATTTTGATTTGGGGTGTCTTTTATAGCCAAAAGTGTATCCTATTATATCATCATTCCTTTGTGCTCTTGAAATAAATGGTTTTAGATCCTATCTGTTGAAATCAGACTTCAGAAATGACAAAGCGCAAACCTGAAATGTGACATCTTTTATAGGGTATCCAGCCACAGTATTTTTGTCTTAATATCACAGCTGTTTGGACTGTAAGTGCTTCACCACTGTGAAAACCTGGATAATCGGACGCTTTGTCAAGCTGTATTCTGACCATTTGGCTCTGTTCTTTTGTTCTGTTTTCAGCAGCACAGACTACCTTACATGAGATTTCCTTATGGTGTTATTTCAATGAGCTTTCAAATAAGAAAATGTTTCCAACTTCTAAACTCTAAATATGGCCTTGAAATTTAATCACACCTATAATATTGCCAAAAATTACTATCACCTATTAAATTTTATGTGTAGAAAATATACTAAAAATCAATTTCTTCAAGAGATGCTTCTTAAAGTACAGAAGAGTATTTAAAAAGGGAAAGTAAGAAGCTACATTTATGTTTGCTTACATATGCATCAGGAAACTCTAGAAAGAAGAAATTATAAACGATGGTTAATTTGGTTAGGGGTGGTGGCGGGACTAGGTAGATGAGGATATTGGGAGAGACATGTCACTATATACCTTTTTATACTATCTGGTCTTTGAAATAATGTGATTATATAACCTATTAAAGTATCACTTTACTAAAAAACTCAATTTTAAAATTCTAAAATGTACTTTTTACCAGAAGTATCCCCAAATTAATTGATTATTCTTCCATTGAAAACCCATCAACATGGGAAACCCTACCATCTCCATCACTACCATATTAGACTTTTAGCTAAAACAATAGTAAATGAGAAATTTGAAATTTAAAACATAATTTTTTTTTTTTTTAATTAAGAGATAAAGTCTCACTCTGTTGATTAGGCTGGAGTGCAGTAGCATGATCATAGTTCACCGTAACCTCAAACTCCTAGGCTCAAGCAATCTTCCCATCTCAGCCTCCCAAGCAGCTAGCACTATAGGCATGCACCACCACCGTTTCTATGGGTTTTTTTGTAAAGCAGAAAAATTCTTTATGTGAAATGCTCTTCTTAGTGATCCCATCCCATTAGAACATTCAAAACTTTAAGTAAGCTCACAAACAACCCTTAAGCCCAATAAAGAAAACATCAAACTTCTACAATGGAGTAAAAACAGAGTGAGCAAAGGGAAGGGAGACATGGTTAAAAGTAAGGAACAGAAGGAAGCTGAAGCTGGGTGCCGTGGCTCATGCCTGTAATCCTACTACTTTGGGAGGCCGAGGCGGGAGGATTGATTGAGGCCAAGGGTTCAAGACCAGCCTGAGCAACACAGCAAGAGCCCCATCTCTACAAAAAAATATAAAAATTAGCTGGGTATAGTGGTGTACACCTGTAGTCCCAGCTACTTGGGAGGCCGAGGCAGGAGGATCACTTGGACCCAGGCATTTGAGGTTCCTATGAGCTATGATGATGCAACTGCACTCTACCTGGGGCAGTAGAATGAGATCCTGAAAAAAAGAAGGAAGCTGAGTTGGACTTCCAGCCCAGAACATCTGAAGAATAGGCACAATTCACAAATCTAACAAGTGGCACATCAGTATTGATTGGTTTATAGCTCAGTAAAGGTTATTTGCATCACCGTCTTCCAACTTGCCCCATCTGCCATTTCAAACCAGATCTTGTTCTGACTTCCCTATTTCTAGGAATAGACAGTGGAATTCAGTCCTAATAACAATAATAATAATGGCAGATAGGACTTATTGATAGTTTATTACATATATCTCCTACCAAGTATATATTTCAGGCTCAAGCTAAGCATTTAAGAGGCACTAGTAGGCCCAATCAGATTCATCCAAAAATCAACAACCAGATCACTTAATGAACATAATTTTAAAAAATGTATCCAAACTCAATTAAAAATGAAATCACAGTACAGCAACACATTACAATGTGTTGTATATTTAAAACCTGTTAAAATAACTATGACAACTATGTTAAAACATAGAAAAATGAGTAGCTTATAAGCAGAATGTAAAATGGTATGTAAACTTATTACAATCATGTAAAAACATGTGCACGTGGATGAGGCTTAGAAGGTAATACGCAAATTTTAAAATAGTTGTGTTAGAAGGGTGGGATTACACGTGACTGTTTTTTCCTTCTCTCAAAATTTCTTTCCATCTTTTTGCTGCCCCATGTATTCCCATCTTTTTGCTCCCCTATTGTATACTGGTCAACATATAGGTTAAGCTGCATAATAATATACAACATATTGGCAAATTAAACAAGATTGTAGTCTATTTCTCTCTCATATTACAGTCCAAATATAAGCCATGCAGAGCTGATACAGTGATTTTACTGCGCCAAAACTCAAGTTGTTATCTTTTTCTTATATTTTATCTTTTGCCATCCCTTCTTCTGAATAATCTCAGATGACTCACCATCATGTTTGTATTCCAGCCACTGGGAGGAGGGAAAGAGGGAAAGGGCAAGCAGCAAGCATACTCTGTTCCTCTGGAAGCATAGTGCCTGACACGTGAGAAGACAAAAATGTTAAATGAACGACCAACCCTGCAGTCACTCTAGTTTTGAAAGGGCCCAGCAGAAAAATTCCATAATGAAAGATACTTGACCAGATGTAGGCCTCTTATGTTTTCTCATTGACCTTAGAATAGCAGCAGTGGGGAGAGTAAGATGCTTTGCAAGCTAATGGGAAAATATCTGATTGTTATCCACACTCATTTAATCTTGGAGGACCGACTCGAGATGCAGGCAGATGTTTCTCAGTAGGCATATGTATCTCACCCAGGTCCATTAAACCCCTTTATCCAAATTCCTGGCAAGCTCATCTTCCTACAACCTTCTCAATTCAAGGTCATAGATAATGTTGTTAACAGAAATCACCCTGAGTTTGTAACAATGAATGTCAAAAAGAGTTGTAAGGTGAACTGTTATTTCCCTTGCTGCTAGTCCTGAGGCATGTACAATATCCACTGAATTCAGAGATACATCCTAGGGTGAGTCAGTGGGCAAGGAGAGTAACAGTGAGGCCAACCAAAAGGCATATCTTGTTTTAAATTCAATTTGCTGACTTTTCAACCACATATAGCATTATGTGAATATTTGATGATGGCTCTTGATGCTGTTGATAAGCCAGTACAAATCCTTTAATATACTGGAGGTAATTTAACCAGGTACAAAGATAAATCAACACAAATGTGAAGAGATAGTCTTCCTGCTAAGTTATTAGTAATCATTACCTTAGATACTACAATTCCTGCTAAGGTGTGAGGAGATGTTGAGGGGTTGTAGAGGGTATTTGACATGTTAATATTACTAATGTTTCCTTATGCTGAAAGCATATAACATAATTTATAACATATTGTATGGCTTCCTGGCATGGCTCATAGGAAGCCACTTGAATGTCAAGTTATTCATGTTATTGCCTCTGAAGTGACACAAAACTTTAGTTTTCACATAACCATTGATTTAAAAAAAAATCTTTTCTTGAGAGAAAAAAGCTTTTAATAAGCTTGAGGACTAAAACAATCACCTATTTCCAAAATAAAAATGATTATTTTTCTTTTAAATCAGGCTTTCCTCTTGGGTTCCACATTAGTTAAAGGCAACACAATCCCCTGCAGCCATTTGGTGATATTTAACATTTTTCCTATATTTCCACTGTCCAGAGAGGAGTTCACGAACACCCTCCTTACCTCCTCTCAACTAGATTAACGACTAATAACTTCCTAATTTTTCTCTTTAAATTTGAAATCCTTTCCTGTGACATCCAAGGCATATCCCAATCTGGATTCATCTCACCCTCCAGCATTATATCTCTCACGACAAATCCTTAACATAGCTGACCCCTAAATAAGCCAAAAAACATTCATGCCTTTTTGTCATTGTTCATATCATTCTAAGTCTAAAATGCGGAAATACTGTCCTCTTCCTTCTTCAACAAGATAAAAATCCCATTCACCTTCTCCAGTGCTCAGTTCAACTGCCACTTCCTCGGTCGATCTTGTCCTAATACCATCAGAAGGAACTCATTCCAGCTTGCTCCCATAAATATAAAATTAAAATAATATATTATTTTTGTGCCAGACACTTTGCTGAGCAAGAATTAACTCACTTAATCATCACCAGTATTATTCCATCTTATAGGGGCTTCTATAAGATTAAATAACTCATTTAGAACCTCGCAGCTAGGAAGTAGGGAATTCAAATCCAGATCCTCTGACTCCAGACCATGCCCTTTTTAGAGCATTCTGCCTGATGCTAGTAGTATACATAACTGTCTCTCCTACTAAACTGTAAGCTCTTTGAGATGTGGGGTGTGTCTCTGTAGCTCTGTATCCCCCACAATGTCCACGACTGCTGTGAATAATAGCTGCTCATATTCTTTAATGAATAAATAGAAAAGAGGTTGCTGAAGTTTGCCAACTCTAATATAGTGTTTTAACCTTCATACAGTTTTCTTATACTCCTCCTTTGTTTCCTACCACCTACCTCCCCAGGTCATTAGTACAGATCATGAAACTGCATATAATCCATAAAGAAGACGCTGAAGCTGTCACAGTGCTGAGACCCACGTTAGCTGAACTGTCCTGCGAAGTGAAGCTGTGAAAGTGCCACATGATAAGCAGCCTAACACAGGCTCCACACTTGAGAGTCAGCTAGAAATATGACAGTAGTTTGAGCTTGTTTCCCCACAACTGGCAACGGTTTTGTCTCAGCGGCAAGCATCCCAGCCCTCCAAGCATTACTGCCATAATATTTATTGAGCAATAACAATTGCTAGATGCAATTGAGAATGTTGAACTGGGCATCATCTTTACCCAGGAGACTTGTAATTTAAATTCTACAGGCCTACAGAAACATAAGGAGGAAAGAAGGCAATGGCCTTCTCTCCTCCATCCCTCACCCCCTAGATGTATTCAACAAACAATGTAATATTCCTCCAGCAAGTTCAAAGTACCCCTGAATACTGAACTAGGCACTCAGTGATGATGCATTAACTCGCTCAGGCTGAGAGGAAAGCATTTAGTGTCCTGGAGTAGTGACTTGCCATAGACTCTAGTGTCCCAAACAAGTTAGTACAGCCTTTAAATGTGATTGATGCACTAACTTACGATATAAGATCAAAGATGTAGCCAAGGTTACCCCAAGAAAAAATTGTAATAGAGCTGGAAATAGAAATTGCACCTCTCCTAAGAGCAGAAGGGTCTGCTCTTTGGTATGCACCTCCTTGGTCCCACTGGACTCCATCTCATTTACGATTTCAACTGATCTCTGTTAAACATCTAACTGGAAATGAGCCAATTAATGCATTACATTTTAAAGTTAATTTTTATTTTTATCGAAGTAATACATGTACATAATTTAAGAAATAAAACATGACAGAAAAGCAGTTCCCTAGTCCACACTTCCCCAATCCCTATTCTTGATTCCTTATGGTAACCAATTTTAGTTCTTTTAGCTATCTCTTTTGGTGTCTATATCCATATTCTAGATAATGTGCTTATACGGTTATTTCTTGATTTTTAAATTTTAAACATTATTTATTTACTTAATTCTATGGAAGATGAGTTATCTCTCATAACATATGCCCTCACACCCTAAAAACTCACACATATTTTCCCTTCTCCATCTTTCCAACATAATCATAACATACATTTAGGTTAACCACATAATTAAAGTTTACATAATTATGACTCTATAAATGTTGTTTACAGCTCCATCTGGAATATAATTACATTTCTTGTACAACTTTATTTCCCAAGAATTTATACTTGCCTCTATTTTTTTGTTATTGTTGCTTGATTTTCTATCTATCTACCATCAACTCATTCTCAAACTCTCCATTAGACTTAAAACTCCTCTCAATGTAGTCAAATGCCTCATGCAATTTATCAGTTTAATTTGTTGTTTTGAAGACTTCCCTATGAACGTCACTGTCCTTCTATTACAATCTGGACTAATTTTTTCTACGCTGTTGGATATCTACCGTTGTGCGGCTTCCCTTTGCCATCACCCTAGGAATTCCCTTTGCCTATCTTGTGTTAGATCCCTTGTCTTTTTGATACCATGACTTTCGCTTTATTTTATTCCTTCATTTCAAAATTTATTTTATTTTAAATTGACAAATAATAATTATACATATTCATGGGTACATAGTAATGTTTTGATATACACAATGTATGGTGATCAGGTCAGGATAATTAGCATATCCATCATCTCAAACACTCATCATTTCTTTGGGAACAATCTATTTCCTCTTTCTAGCTATTTGAAACTACATAATATAATATTGTTTAGGCTGAATCTATTTGGGGTTCCTTGAGCTTTCTGGAGCAGGATGTGCATCTCTCTCCCAAGACTTGAGAAGTTCTCTGCTGCTCTTTCATTAAATATTCTTTCTTCACCTTTTCCCTTCTCTTTTCCTTCTGGAATGCTCATAATATAAATAGATGTTTGCTTAATAGTGTCCCATAAATTCTGTAGGCTTTCTCCATTATTTTTTATTCATTTTTCTTTTTTTATGTCTGCCTGTATCATTTCAAAAAAAAAAAAAAACTGTCCTCAAGTTCAGAAATTCTTTCTTTTTCTTGATCTGGTCTGTTTCTGTTATTGAAGCTCTCAATTGTATTTCTTATTTCATTCATTGAATTCTTCAGCTGTGGGATTTCTGTTTGGTTCTTTTTTATGATATCTATCTCTTTGTTAAATTTCTCATTCAAATCATGAATTGTTTTCCCAATTTCATTAAATTGTCTATCTGTATTCTCTTATATATAACTGAGTTTCTGTAAGATTATTGTTTTGAATTCTTTTTTGGGCATTTTATATATTTCCTTGTAATTGGGAGTCTGTTACTGAAGAACTATTATTTTCCTTCAGAGGACATATTCCTTGCTTACTTATAGCTGATATGTCCTTACATTAATTTCTATGCATCTGATAGAGAAGTTGCCTCTCCAATTTATGGAGTAGGTTTTGTACGTCTTAGAATATTGGTTTGGTGCATTGGCTTTGGTTCTAGGAAGACATAACAGTGTAGTCTCCGTGTGTTTCTTCAGCTGTAATCCATACTAGTGGCATTTGGGAGATTCTTAGTGGCCTAGGCTGAGAGAGCTTGTGGTAATGGTGGTTCAGCTTTGCCGGAGGTAGGCTCTCCAGGCTGCTTTTCAGCTCAGGATCACAGGCATGCACACAGTGGATTAGACATCTTGGAGTCTGGCTTGCTGGGGTTGGAGCCACAGAGCTGTTACTCTGGCTGGGAGCATAAGCATGTGGTTGATCAACCAGGCTGGGGACATGCCCACCAGAGGCAGTCCACAGGGCTGTTTCTCAGGCATGGTATGCAGACATACAGCTGCTCAGCTGGCATGGGTACATGTCTGCTGGGGGCAACACACAGGATAATTTCTCAGGCCTGGGACACAGCTATACAACTGCTTGGTTGGCCTGGGGATATGTTTGCTGGGGGTGGCCCACAGGGCTGTTTCTCAGGGCCAGGATATGATCACGTGGCTTCTCAGCTGGCCTGGGTTGAATCTGGGGCTGTTTCTGCACCTCAGGATGCAGCTACACAGCTGCTCAGCTGGCCTCAGGGCTGTCTCCTGGGGGTGACCCTTGGGACTATTTCTCAAGTTCAGGACATGGGCACAGAACTGCTTGGCTGGCCTGGGGGCATATCTGCTAGGGATGGCCCACAGGGCTGCTTCTCAGGTCTTGGATGTGGTCACACAGCTGCTCAGCCAACCTGGGGGCATATTTGCCAGGGGTAGCCCACACGGCTGCTTCTCTGGCCTGGGAGGCAGGTGCACAGCTGCTCTGCCAGCCTGGAGACTTGCCAATCAGGGGCAGCCTGCAGAGCTGTTTCTTAGTCCCAGGACATGGGAGGCCAGCTGCTCAGTTGGCCTAGAGGCAGCTCATGAAGCTGTTTCTCAGGCTCCGATTACAGGCTCAGGGCTGTTAGTCCAGCCAGGGTCTTGTCTGCAGGGGGTGGGGCAACTCAGCACTGTTACTTAGGCTCTGTGTATAGGCATGTAGCTGCTTCACCGGCCCAGGAGCATGCCAGCTACTCAGAGGCTTGAGGGCCTCTCCTGCTGTGGGGAGGGCTTACAGCAGTTCGGCTGGCTCAAGGGTGAGATTACCCTGGCCAGGACTGCCAGACTATTCCTCTGGCTAGAAGTGAAGGCAGTGGGAGTTGGTTTCCCTGATATGGCATCCCAGCTGACCCTGGGCCCAGGCTCTACACTGCTGGGATTGGGGCATTCAGCCATCAAAGTTGGCTCAGAAGAATGAAGATGGAGCCCCAGTGCTCTAGAGGTGCAGTGGTTACTTGCCCCCAGAGTAGGGCACACTCCAGAGGTGGCTCTGGTCTCAAGATGGCACTGAGCTGTAGCAGCTTGGCTTACAGGGATTGGAGAGGTGGGAGAGCACACAGCTTGCGCTCCTAATCTGAGGCAATGCAGTTGTGTGAATTCCCAGCAGCTCTCCAACCTGGGAGACTATGGGATTCTCCTGTTGTAAGGAATGTAGGTGTTTGCTGTGGCAATGGGGGCTGGTCAGCGTCTTCTGCTTACCTTCCTTTGTGACTCCAGGTGGATCCTATCCTGGCGGGGGAGACAGGACTGCAGACTTGGTGCCTCCACACTACACTCCTGGACATCTGACCACCACAGGTGCGTCTCTACTCTCCCACTGCACGCCAGTGCTCTCTCCTTAACACACCAGTTAGATCTTAGCTATTTATTCATTACCTTGGTCCTTTTTTCTACTCAGAGTTTTTTCATTTCTCTGTGGCCCCAAGAACCGTCTCATCTTCACAACTCAGTTCTAGGAGATTTCTGGTGATGATCTTGGTGCCGTATATTTGTTTTGGGTTCTGGGTGGGGAGTGAAGTCGGCTCGTTTCCATGCCACCATTTCAGGACTGGAACTTACTCTTACTTGTTCATTTTAATGGAACATATATTTCCACACTTTCCTGAAAAGGGGTGCAAGGGAAGTAACTCTGTTGAAACCTTACATATCTGAAAACATGTTGACCTTCATGTTTTGATAGGTATAGAATTTTATTTTCGTAAGAATTTTCTCTCAGAATTTTTATAGTATTTCTTCATTGTTTTCTATTAATAGTTTTCATTATTTAATAAACTGAGAGCCAGTGTAGTCTGTGGAAGAACCAGGCCTCAATTCCACTTCTAATTCTAAGCCTGGGAATGTTCTTCTCCTATAATACCCAGCCTCTATATATTAAAGTATGGAGGAATAAAATGGAACTATTTCTAGCTGTATTCACAGCTTGATAAGGAATTCATTTGTAGACCTAAAACTTCAATCAAAGAAATAAAGTTTATATTGGTAAAATAATATATGTAGTTAAAATTGGGGGACAGGATGTCTCAAATCACAGGGCATAACTCCTCTTCTATTTCTACTCAATGTGTCAAACTGGTAGAATCCCCAAAAATTTCTTGGGACTCCAGAAATTGGGTGTTGGGCAACAATTCTCCATGGGTCTCTCATATTTATGCACATCTTCAATAAATAAGCATTAGTCAACTGTAAACAAAACAAGAAATTTGGGGACTGAGCTAGAATTAACCTCATTTCTGAGATTGTTGCATTAAGATTAAGGTAGAAAATAGACATGATACCTGTTAATAGAGAGCCATGAATTCCAAGTAGAGAATATGGGCTTCATTCCATAATGAGGAAATGCTTAATATTTCTAATCAAGGGAATGACAGCGTGAGGAAAATTATTCTGATAGCAATAATTTGAATATTTGATTATAAAATGATTTGGTGATGGTCAAAGAATGAAGTAAGAAAGATCAATTAGGAGACAATGTAAATATTCTAGACCAGAGGGATCAGGCATTCAAGTAATGGTGGTAGTGTTAATGCATCTGATTTGAAGGCAAAAAGCCTCTTACTAGCTATAACAGTTTAGCTTTCTGATGACAGTGTGTTTATCATACATCAGCCTCAGTAGCAGCTTCACAAAATAATTCCTTCATGTAATTTAGTTGATTTTTTTACATATTGTTCCCAATAACATGGATATAACTAACAATGCATCTTGTTTTAAAACAGACATGTTTAAGTAAAATTTATCTATTCTAACACAAACTCTTCAGTTGTGAGGGAGAGAACAGAAAAATTATCTTGATATGGTAAGATATGAATTTGAGAGTTCAGTGAAACAAAGTCAAAATTTTGGCTTATACTTTCAGTTTATAAACATGTTAATAAGGTTTTTTTATGTGATTAGAATAGGAAATGGGCATTGACACTGAGTATTCTATTACAAGGTTTTCTGAATCCGGAAGGGTCACAAGTTGCAGGAAATTGCAGCTAACTTTTTAGGTTAGTCAGAGCAGAAGAAATCATCTCATTATTTGTATTCTGTTTATGACTGGAAACTCATCTTCTCAAATATTTCCACGGTTTTCAGCAGGCAAGATAATTTAGGTTTGCCATCTCAGGGACTATTAAGAAGAATATTGGGTGGGCATTACTGGGTTCATGTGCTTGTTTACTTCTTTCACTTTTCTCTTTGCTGACCAAATGAAATAACCATCATGTGCATCTCTGCTGTCGTTACAGATTTATGAGAGAAACAAATGACTCCTTTGACAGATTTAAGAATGCAGAAACATTAAATAGATGATTTCCTTAAAACATAATTCCATTTCCTACTCCCAAATCCGATCTCTCTCAAACTCCCTTTCTTCTCTGGAACTACTAATCCCATTGAAGAAAAAACAGAATTTTTTTTTTTAAGTTTCATCCACTCTGCTACTACTATATTCAATTCTTCAAACAAATTCATAATTGTATTCAATGTTCATCTTAAGGGTAAGGTAAATCTTATGGAAAATGTCAGTTCCCTAATGATAAATAATGGGGTATAAAAGCTCATGAGTGGCAAACTATGACCCTCAAAGTATGCCAGTTTTAACTCAGCTAGATATCAAGTAGTGAAAACTAATACCTGGACATTTTTTAGGATGGCATTCTCAAATAAAAGCTGGGAAGAGTTAAACTCACCAAGAAGACCCAAAGAAACATAGTTCAATGAGGTATTGAACAACTATTATGCTAAATTCATAGTATTAGTAAATCTTCACACGGTCTTGATCAGGTAGCACAATTAAGAAAGTCAATGATGGGTAAGGCAACCATTCAAGCTGCTAACAAAGCCAATCACCCTCAGTACTAGAATAAAGAAGATGAGAGAAACTGAAACGAAAAGAGGATTGTAGGATACTGTGAAAGGCTGTCCAGAAATTCCTATATGTCAACTCTGTGCACTATGACTTTGTACCATGTGGATGAACCTGGACCAGCCTAAAGATGATGACTGACACATGGCTATCACTCCACTAGACACAAAACACTCACTAGACATGTGTAGAGCCATTCTAGGCAATCTAGCTGATTTTGATGGGGGAAAAAAAACACCCATTCTGCCCACAAAACTGTGAGAAATAATAGATAGTATCATAATCTACAAAGTTTTGGGCAGTTTATTATGCAGCAAAAGCTAAGTAATCTATGAAGTGGAACCAGGATTGAAGTACTGCTGTTACAGCAACCTAAAATATGTAGCATTAGCTTTGGGATGAAGTAGTGGACAGAGACTGTAAAAGTGACAAGAAAAATGTCAGCCAAAATTGATAAAAGGGAGAATAAACTGCTAGTGGTAACTAGAAAATTGGTAACAAACTACTATAGTACCCTGGAAAAAATGGAACTCTGTGTTAGGCAGTATTCAAACAATAGCAAAACTGTTGCCCACGATAAAACTTGGAAGATAGAAAATTTACCTAATAAATTTGTAGAATCAGCTATGGAGATTTCCAGACAAAATGTTAAAGGAGTAGGGATTTTTTGTTGTTGTTTCTTTGTTTGTTTTTATTGCATAAGATAAAGTACAGAAAAAGAAAAGAGAAAGAGAGAGAGACAGACAGAAATGAGCTAAAGAACCATGCAGTTTTCCTGCAGAATTCATAGGCAATATAAAGAAACCAGAATTTGAGAACTGGAAAAACAAACTAATCCATACTTCTGGTCTCTCCAGCCATCAAGAGATTCTCAAAGTAAGAAATGACTTCATGGTAAAGATCCAAATCAAGGATGTAGCTGAAAGACCTTTTGTTAAACCACTGCATGGTGTAAGGTGGTGCCTAGAATCTTCAGGATGTTGTATGTATCGCAGCATCTTGTCAGGAAGCCCAAAGGTGAAGGAGTTAGTGATATGACCTTTAGGGCATGGAGTAGGCCCAAATCAGATTCACAGGAAGCCCCCAAAGTTTTTAAAAGAGTTATATTGATACAATTTCTGACAGCTTAGACTATAACACAAAAAGTTCAAAATGAAAAGATCTCTTTGGGCCTCTAATTTTCTACAGGCAAGAAGCAGGCTAAGAAAGCTACCCAACTATAAGCATAAGATATTTTTTACTGAAAAGCAAGAGTGTCTCAAAAGGTGGAGGAAAGAGCCTAGAGGACAAGAAACCCCCTCCTTTTGAAAAGAATGTCAGAGGACAATAAGCTATGGAGTCAATCCTGGGAAGAACTGGGCCCTAATCAAGAAACATTCCCTGCTTCTTGAATAGAGAGTACCTAACATCATGTGCAAGGCTAGACTTCAGAATTGTTATGCACCTCTAACTGCTACATGTCTACCATTCTTCCCTTCTTTAAATGAGAATGTTTATTGCAGTTACCTTGTCTCACTATTTTTATGTAGGGTATGGGGGCAGTCTCATCCACATCTGTATTAACTGCATATCACAACATCCTGGACTTTGATCCTGACACCTGAGGATAAAATACTAGGGGGCAGTTTCACAAAAGCAGGGATTTTTCTCTATTTTGCTCACTGCACTCCAAACACCTAGTATAGTCATGGGCCAATAGTAGGTCCTCAATAAATATTCATCAAATTAAAGAATAAACTCTTTTGTCATTTTATTATTCTTTTGTATTATATTAGCAGACACTTGTGGTTTTCATTGCCAAAAAACAAAAAAACAATGTGACCTAAATGTGGTATCCTGTTCATAGTCATAGTTAATACTTTCAAAAAGAAATAAAATCTCAATGTGAATCCAGCCACTTGCTCAGAATATCATAAGGAAATAGGAGAACTCCTTCAAAGCTTCTAAAATAATCAGCTTGTGCCCCAAAGCATGAGATTCTATTACCTTTATCTTAGTATTCATAACTACAATATTATGACTGGTCATAAAATTATCCAGTCTTTCTAATTCATCCATTGACTGAAACTGTGACCTCCCAGGGTAGTAAATTCCACAAGTTGGCAATACATTGGATGAAGAAATATTTTCCTTATGCTTCTTTTATTCTATATTTATATCAGCCATTAATTTTGCAGAATGAGTGACCCTTGTCTTAATAGTTGCAAGACACAAAATTAAATAAATTGAGCCTGCAATAAGGATGTCATTTTAGCAGTTTTGTATGGTAATGTTCCATTTATCATGTGAACATGTAGCTGTGTTAGAAGAGTATGAATAGCTAATTACTTTCCTTTTAGATTTTTCGCCTTCACAGGAGACCAGAAAGGAAATTTCAGGATAGAGATAAAGGGAAAAGAAAGAAAACAAACAAGGTATATATGAGACTGTCTGGATCATGGACTATTATAATTCTACTTGGGTTCTTTAAAATTGCTATGATCTAAAATAATAATATAAAGAAAATTGATTCAACCAGTTTTAAAGCTGAAATATTCCTGGGTAACAGTATTTGACTACTTCTATCCCTTACATTAGAAGCAAATGAAAGAAGAAGGATTTGCTCTTGACAGAATTTTATACTTAAG